GTCCACCGCCGGCCTGGCCCAGGCCCGTCAGCACTGCGCGTGGGCCCGCCCCGGCCCTTCGGGGACCCTCGTGGGCCCCGACTCGGGTCTTGACACTTGCAGCGTGGCGGTCTCCCGGCTGGGTTGGCGGAGGGTGAATGAAGGATGACCGTGTCGCCGGCGTTGAGGTGTTGGGCTTGCTGCCGGCGCGCTCGAGGCCCAGTATGGGTGCCCAGGTTCCGGGCCTGGCACAGCCAGAGGCCCGTCGGGTCCCTCGGTCACACTTGGACTTGCCAGTGCGTTGGTTTCCGCGAGTTTGAGAAGAGAGAGCAGTACTTCTTCTAGTTTTATTTCTCTCCCCTTGGTCTCCCGCACTGGGAGGCTGAGCAAGGGGGTGCCCCTTGTTCCCCCACCCTCGAGCAGTGGGGACGGGGTAGGGCTTTCCTGCCTAGCCCGTCCTGTGACCTGGGACACACACACAGGCGGAGACAGTGAGTCAGGGTAGACCTGTAAGAGCTGAGGCCGATGGTGGACCAGGAGGTTCTAAGCTGGGGTCTCCATAACATGGGTTCCTGGTATCCTGAGCTGTGGTTGTGTCCTTGGTGCTGGTGTGGGAGAGTAGCTGCAGAGGGTATTTGGGTTCATCCCTCTTCTCTGCCAACGTTCCTGTCGTGTGATGCTTCAGGAAGGGACGGAGTTCAACCACACCTGACCTGGCCACTGCTGTCACAGTGGAGGGGGCAGAGGTGCAGGAGTGTGAAGGCCTCCGGACCAACCCCCACAGATGCATGAACTTGTGCTGCTTAGCCCATTCCTGAGCTGGTGTTCCTGGCCTGCTCCCTCACAGAACCTTCTGGCGACCCTTGGGGCAGACCCTGCCTCTGCCCTCACAGGTTGCCCTCAGCCTCATTGCATCAAGGGGGAAGCCAGGAGTTATTTGTCCAGTTTTTGACCTTGTGCGTGTGGAACATGTCATCAGGGTGTGGGTTTGCAGTTAGGTGCTCAGACCCTGGCCCCCAGTTCTACTCCATTGTCCCCGTGGTCTCGGGTCCCCTGTTTTTTGGCAGCTCTCTGGTAGACTCACGTGTGAGCATTTCAACTCCCCTCCTTTGGCTGTGCTCCTCCAGGGTGAGGACTGCCTCCCCTTGTGCTGCACACAGTGGGGCGGGGCAGGTGCTGCAGCAGGGGTCCCAGGCTGACGTGAAGTCCAGTCTGGACAGTCACAGCTGTGGCCAGAGAGCTGAGGTCCGCTTATTTCAGAGCTGTGGACACGACTGGGTCCCGTCTCAGTATGCCCCGTGGGGAAAGCGTCCCTCTCTGAGATGGGCCATGGCACGCATCTGTCTCTGAGTCCTCCCAGAGTCTGCGTCTCCAGCCTCAGGTTCAGAACAGGCGGGCCTTCCTGCTGAGCTTCTTAGTTATCTTTTTTTTTGTTTTTTGTTTTTGAGTTGGACTCTCACTCTGTCGCCCAGACTGGAGTGCAGTGGCTGCTCCCGGCCACTGCAGCCTCCACCTGCTGGGCTCCGGCGATCCTTCCGCCTCAGCCTTCCAAGGAGCTGAACTCCAGGCGCGAGCTACCATGCCTGGCTAATTTTTGATTTTTTTGTAGAGATGAGGTCTCGCCAAGTTGCCTAGGCGGGTCTTGAACCCGCGGGCTCAGGCAATCCACTCACCTCAGCCTCCCAAGGTGCAGGATTACAGGCTGAGCCACCGAGCCCAGCTAGTTCTTAGTTATCTTACCCTAAGGGCAGCAGGTAGACGAAAGGTCGGTGAACACTTTGGCCAAACTACTTCTAGGTCCATTATTTCCAGGTAGTAGCAACATATGGCAGTTGATAGTTTCATCAAATTAGCCTGTCCTTACTGTTTTGTGTGTGTGTGTGTGTGTGTGAGTCCAGGTCTCTGTCACCATGCTGGAGTGCAGTGGCACTGTCATGCCTCACAGCAGCCTCACCCTCCTGGGCTCAGGCAGTCTTTCTGCCTCGGCCTCCCAGGTAGCTGCAACTACAGGCGTGTGCCACTACACCCAGCTAGCTTTTTAATTTTTTTGTAAAGATTAGATCTCACTGTGTTGCCTAGGCTGATTTCGAACCCCTCTGCTTAAGCAGTCCTCCCACCTTGACCTCCTGTAGTGCTGGGGTTGCTGATGTGAGCCACTGCACCCAGCTGTCCTCACTGTTTTAGAAATCATCATTTTCAGGTTGGGTATGATGGCTCATACTTGTAATCCCAGCACTTTGGGAGGCTGAGGCAAGAGGATCGCTTTAGGCCAGGGATTCGAGACCAGTCTAGGCAACGTGGTAAGACCTCATCTCTTTAAAAAAAAATTTAATAGTAAATAGCCAGGTGTGGTGTCACCTGTAGTCCCAGCTACTTGGGAGACTGAGGCAAGAGGATTGCGTGAGTTCAGGAGTTGGAGGCTGCAGTGAGCTATGATAGCCTGAGGGACAGTGAGACCCTGTCTCTGAAAAGAAGGCGCCATCTTGGAATCCAGGGCTTTGGAGTACCTTGTCAGATGGGGAAGTAGGCAGTCCTGGTCTCGGAGCTGACCTTGGCCCCATCAGGGAGGGTTCTCTGGGAGCGTCTGCACGGCAGTAGTAATGGCTCCTCCCCCAGTGGCTGTGGCAGACATGAGGATCACGGCATGGCCTGTGCCCCGGACTGGAGGGCCTTCTGGTCTTCCGCCACCCCACCTCCCAGTGTCGTTCAGGCTGTCCTCTGACCAGGGTGGAGGCGACTTGGTGAAAGCACCTAGTTAGTCCCTAGGGCAGGCGTCCCTGTGCCCCAGTGAACTTCCGCTGACTCCCTTATGACAGGCGTGTCCTGCAGGGGTCAGCGAGGAATTGGGGTGAGTAGCACTGACGAGAAATGAGCCATGTGTGGACTGTTCCTTGTCCAAGGACCAAAGTTTACGGCCCTGGTGGGGGAGGAGGAGTGCGTCTAGCTGCTAAACTTGAGGTGGGCCGGGCTCAGGCAAGGTCAGGGTGGTGGTTGTGGTGAGGTTAGCTGCGTTTCCAAGGGCGTTTGTGCAGGTGTTCTGTGTGACCCTCTCAGCAGCCTTGCAGAGTGGGTAGGGCCATGTCCCCACTGACAGGCCAGGAGCCCCAGAGCCAGTGCACTAGGCACTGAGAGGTGGACCCTGGCCCCAGCTCCTTCTGCCTCCCTGCTTCAGGGTGCCACTGGGTCTTGGCAGTACCCTGCACCGAGGGCCAGGTCAAGGAGCCTCAGCTAGCCTCCTGGCCTCCCAATAGTGGCCAGCCCTAGCAGAAGTGGCAGGGAGAGGGTCTTGCTCGTCACCTAAGCCCCTCTGGTGACCAGTTGAAGAGCTCTGCTCTGCCTCAGCCCAGGATAAGTCCATTTTATTTGTGCCTGGTATTGGGATCCCTCAGGAATGTTGAAGTTCAGTGGTCAGTGGCCAAGTTTATTTTTATTTATTTATTTTTGAGATGGAGTCTTTATTTTTTGCCCAGGACGTGAACTCTTGGTCTCAAGTGATCCTCCTGCCTCAGCTTCCTGAGTAGCTGAGACTGCAGGTGTGCACCACCATGCCCAACTTGACTTTGGCTTTGAACACAGCTCTGTAAATAGGAATTGGTGTCTTTGCTTTTTTTTTTGAGTCAGTCTCACTTGAGCCCAGGCTGGAGTGAAGTGGCATGCTTACGGCCACTGCAGTCTCAATCTGCTGGGCTTAGGTGATCCTTCCACCTCAGAGGCTTCCAAGTAATTGGAACTGCAGGCATGTGCCACCATGGCCGGCTGGTTTTCTTATTGTGAAGATGCGGTCTTGCCAAATTGCTCAGTCTGGCTCAAACCTCTGGACTCAGGCAGCCCTTTCGCCTCCCAAAGTGCTGGGATTCTAGACGTGAGCCACTGTGTCTGTTTTGTGTACAGCTTAACAGTTGGAGTTGTTCTGTGTATGTTGTATCTCTTGGCTCAATCTCCATGTACTACATCAATGGACACAGCTCAGGGAGGATGTGACAGCACAGAGGGAGATTGCCACTCTCACAGGGGTCTTTGCATCCCAGGACCGTTTAGAAATGACTCGGGTCTGGTTTCTTTCAGAGCTGAACTCCAATGTGCAGCAATGGATGACGACAACCTGGATGAGCTTGTGGCCCAGAGTCCAGGGCCGGATGGACACTCGCACATTGGCCCCGTGGACCTTGCCAGCGACTTTGGTGAGCCACTCGGCTCCAGGAGGAGCGTGTCTTGGGAGTTGCAGGGTTGCCTGGTATTCTTCCCAGGTTGTTGGTTCCCTGTTGGAGGTTGTGTGTGTGTGTCGATCATCAACTTTTAATCTTTAAAAATTATTCTTTGACTTTCAAGTTGCAGAAGTAGCACGTTCCTTCCTGTTGTCTCATTTTTAACGCAAACAACACGAATATGGAGTAAACTGATGCCACTTTCCCCTGCATCTGTCCCCTCCCAGGCCCACCTCACCAGCCCTGGGTCGGCCATGGGTGGCCCTTTGGCAGGTGTCCTTCTAAGCCCCTCTGTGCATTTATAAAGCAGCCCTGCCTCTCTGATGCCTTGGTCATGACAGTGCCCCGGGGGCTCGTGTTTTCTTCTGGTGGCACAGAAAGCAGCAACGGCAACAGCGGGGACTCTGGGGACGACACAGACAGCGAGCGTGGAGATGGCACAGACAGAGAAGACGAGGGGGCATCTGAGGAGGACCTGGAAGACAGATCCGGTGAGACTCCTGGTGCTGACTCCTTGTGTGCCCTCTCGCCGTGACAGGGACAGTCTTTCAGAAAACATCCTCAGGGCTGGAAACGGCGGCTCACATCTGTCATTCCAGCACTTTGGGAGGCTGAGGCGAGAGGATTGCCTGAGCTCAGGGGTTGGAGACCAGCCAGGGCAACTTGGCGAGACCGCGTCTCTACAATAAATCAAAAAATTGGCCGGGCATGGTGGTGCATGCCTGTAGTTCAGGCTACTTGGAAGGCTGAGGCGGAAGGATCGCCTGGGCCCAGCAGGTCGAGGCTGCAGTGGCTGAGAGCGTGCCACTGCATTCCAGCCTGGGCGACAGAGTGAGACCCTGATTCCAAAAAGAAAACATCTTCATTGAAATTGGTGCCTTAATAGCGGCCCAAAAGGCACGGGAAGTGTTGGGGAGAAAGCCCTCTGCATAGCTGGTTGTGTCCCCAGCTTATTCTTTCTGCGGTGGCTTCCTCTTTGGTGGGGATATCAGCTCCCTTTTGTTGTAGCCCTTCACTTTGAAGTTCAGTTTTATGATATCATTCAGCAGGTCTCTTCTCTGGTGAGGGTAGGAAACTGAAATGTTTGAGAACGGACAGCACGGACTTCAGTGTTTCTGGGGAGAGTGTAACCAGACTGGAATTTCCAATGGAAAAAGCAGAAGAGTCTTGGTCAGCCTCCTGTTCCCCACGCACCCGCAAGGGCACGTTGGCATCATCTTGTAGGTACAGGACAGGGTTAGCAGGACCCAAGGTTTGCCATGGCCTGAGATCTCTTGACCAGCACTTAGGTATGATGGCAGCTCCCTCCTATGGTTTGTGCTCTGTTCTGACCAGAACTCCCAAGACAGCTGGGAGGTGCACCACATGATTTTTATTTTTATTTTTTGAGTTGGAGTCTCACTCTGTCGCCCAGACTGGAGTGCAGTGGCTGCTCCCGGCCACCGCAGCCTCGACCTGCTGGGCTCCAGCGATCCTTCCGCCTCAGCCTTCCAAGTAGCCAGAATTACAGGCGCACGCTACCACGCCTGGCTGATTTTTTGATTTATTGTAGAGATGAGGTCTCGCCAAGTTGCCCAGGAGGGTCTCGAACCCGCGGGCTCAGGCAGTCCACTCACCTCAACCTCCCAAAGTGCCGGATTACAGGCTGAGCCACAAAGCCCTGCTCTACCACATGATTTTATTATGAAATTCCCAGCTGGGCTCGGTGGCTCAACCTGTAATCCCACAATTTGGGAGGCCGAGGTGAGTGGATTGCCTGAGCCCGCGGGTTCGAGACCCGCATGGGCAATTGGTGAGACCTCATCTCTACAATAAATCAAAAAATCAGCCGTGCGTGGTAGCGCACGCCTGTAATTCTGGCTACTCGGAAGGCTGAGACAGAAGGATCGCTGGAGCCCAGCAGGTCGAGGCTGCGGTGGCCGGGAGCGGCCACTGCACTCCAGTCTGGGCGACAGAGTGAGACTCCAACTCAAAAAAAAAAAAAGAAATTCCCAGCTGGTTTACACTGGTGGACCTTCGTGTCCTTGAACTTCTTTGTAGGGACCAGTGCGCTAAAGAGCAGGTCTGCTTTGGGAGTAGTGGTGGTTCCTCTTTCTCTGACCTCTGTTGCCATCCCAAGTAGTACAGAGTCTGCGGGTGGTTGGCCCTGTCCTATGCCCAGCCGTGACCATTTTCCTCAGAGGGAGGACTGGATGTGACTTTGGAAGTTTGCCTCCCTGTTCTCTTCCTTCTGACATAGTCCTCAGGCCAGGAAGTGCATGGTCCTAAAGCATCTGCCATGAACTGTGTGTCACAGTCTTTTGAGATAATCCCGTAGTTATCCGTGGTAGAATGTCCCGGGAAGGGATCTGTCATGCTTGGGACAGTGCTCAGGAAGGGGCAGGATGGACAGTGGGAGTCACTCTGAGTTTACACCTCTGTGTGTGTTGGCTGTGCATTCTTCCAGAACTACAGTTTCACTTTGGAGCATGCACGGGGGCTCACAGGTTGTGGGCGTGGCTCTCCTGCTCACTTCCAGCACGAGGCCAAGGCTTTAGCGCATCTACAGCGAGTCTTAGCTCGGGCACTGGCATTGCAGGGCTGGGGGCACGAGATGTCAGGTGCTGTCTGATGACTCGCCCTCCGTCCTTGAGATCCTGAGGGCCACTGGAGGCCGGAGACCCTGACCAGGCTGGAGTAAGGTGGGAGTCAGTCCCTGCACTTACCTCCGAGCAGTGAAACACGGTACAAAGCAGCAGTCAGGGTGCAGGCGATAGATGCAGGGAGGAAGGGGCAGGCTCCAGGGACTGGGGACCAGAAGCTTCCATAAAAAGACACAGGTTGGCTGCAGCGTGAAGGACAGGAGGAGGTGACCAGGCAGTGGTGGGCATGTGCCAGGGCAGAGTGCTATGAGGAGATTCATGGAGACCTGGAGCCTCTGGAGCCAGTGCCCAGAGGGGAGGGCTGGGGAG